TCAAGCAGTCACACTAATGTTCAATACGATGTGTATAATTCCACCAAGGAAGTTCTTAAAGATTTTCGTTCTCATCAAGAAAATAAACTGAAACACCACCCAATATCACATGGTTTCTTTTTCTCAAATGTCATAAAGTTCTCATTGTCATCTGTTAATTCTATTTGKTMTTCTGTTCAGTCTAACCTAYCCAAGAACATTTACAACTTTACCATTCGCTACATAAATAACTCCCTTGCTACACGTAAGAATCTGACAAGACGGGGATTATCACAAAGTCCTGATTTTTCCTTTTGCCTTAACCCTTAGACACTCCTTCCATGCTGTTGCTGGTTGTCACCTTTACCTCGAACGCTTTACCTGGAGACATGAATCAATTGTTAACTTCATTGCCAACTCGCTCAAACCTGTAATTAATCATCGCTCTTCACTCTATGCTGATGTAAATAGTTTTCTGAGTCCTTCAATTATAACTGGTGACACGTTTCGTCCAGATCTCCTTCTCCTAATACAGTTCAAGTGCCTTTATGTTCTGGAACCAACAGTTGGATTTGAGTCTAACCTTAATAACAATGCAGTCCGTTAAAGAGAAAAATACAAGAATCTGATTAAAGATTTGACCAGTAAATTCAATTGCGTTAAATTCGTAAACCTCTCGTTGAGTTCTCTTGGCGTCCTGTCCGACGAATGTTCTACGTTTTTTAGACATGATGAATGAGATTGGAGTTGACAAAAAACAACAACACTATATAATCAAAAAATAATGAATCTTGCTATTAGAGTTAGAGACACGTATTATACATTTTGTTGTAAAAATAAGATTTGGGAAAGCCCAGACTTAATGGAATTTTAATTTTGATATATATACAGCGATATGCAGAAATTCTGATCCAACCAAGTATATAGTATACAACTATATCGGGTGCATTATGGGTATAATGACCTCGCGGGATTTCAAAATCAAACTCAGCTTTCTCAAACCAGAAAAAGAATTTTCACCCTCCCTAGTACTCGACAGTCGGCGTTATTTTCAACATAAACCGCTGTTTATTTATGTAATTTTGATTAATACAAACGGCTTACTTGCAATGATAATTAATATTCAAACTTTTACTCTCGTGAGTGAACTTGTTTTGCATAAAACTGCAAAGCTTTTATTAACTTGAGCCAAGAGAGAGAGAGAGAGAGAGAGAAATAAAAGAAAAAGTAACCACAAAGAATCACTAAGTTGTGAGAGGAGAAGTGGAAGAATATGCCTCTCTTCAGTAAGAATAACCTCCGATTGTCTAGAAATTATATTTAGCCTGTTCATCAACTGAGATTTGACTGAATTGATGCTCAATAACAATAACACGGTAGACCACGAATAAAGCAAAATATCCTATCCAGAGCAGTTCATGAACAATTTTTGTACCACTTTTGTCATAAGTCATATTACCGACTGTTTTGGTTTTGTTGTCCTCGGAGTGTTTGATTGTTTTAGAAGGGCACATATAAATAAGCGAAGAACGAGTTCAGAATTGAGCTCAGCTCAACCGAAACTTCCAAGAAGAGCGATTTCAGAACTGATTTTAAACTCAACCAATTTATTGCAAAACTTTCAATTTTTCACTTTTACATCAATAAAACCGTTTACAATATGACATTTTTTTTTCTAATAGTGTAGAGGTATTAAAAAGTGAACCCATTCCCGCCTCTTGACTTTAGCGYTGTTCATRAACAACACTCGGTAGGCCAGCCARCGCTTTGGTRCTTAGCTTTGAATCCCGCGGGTCTATTACCCATAATGCACCCGATATAGTTATATACTATATACTTGGTTGGATCAGAATTTCTGCATATCGCTGTATATATATATAATTAATATATAATTTTTTTGGTTAGGCGTATATATAATATATACACCTAACCATAAGAATTCTGTAACTTCAGATATATATATATGTCTTTTGTTCTCGAGAGCCGAAACAATAGAAAAACAAAAGACATATATATATGTAAAGTCGCAGAATTCTTATGGTTAGGTATATATATATTTAGATTTACGACTGTCTGTTTCTTTCTTTCTTTCTTTGTAGACAAAAGAGCGGACGGGTAACAGCGGAGCAGACGTGCAAAGTTTTTTATTTTCATTTATTTTCTTATTTAGTGGTATTTGTCTTTCGTAGTTTTAAAAGATCCGGTTTTTTGAAAATATTCTTTCAAAATGTCGAGTCTGGTGTATTACTTGCGTGTGTGTGATAATATCCTTTAAGTAAACGCCAGACTCAACATTTGTAAAAATATATTAAAAAACCGGACATAAAACTACGGAAAACAAATACTAACTGAAAAAAAAATAATAAAAATAAAGATCATTGAATTAATGCCGTGCCCGTCTGGTCCGTCCAGCCCGTTTGGTCCGCCGTTCCTTCTGGTCTGCAGGTTCGTCTGGTCTGCCGGTTCGTCTGGTCTGCCGGTTCGTCTGGTCTGCCG